GCTGGTGAAGCAGGTCTCTGCTTCATCAGCTTCTCTGGGGGTCCCTAGGTGACATGGGTCTTAAAGACCCCTGATGTCTCCATAAAGAGGACCTGTCACTGCAAATTCCCTATCACATAGGGAGCGTGTTTGCTCCCTATGTGACGGCAATAAAGTTAAGTGGAAGAAAAGGTTTAAAAAAATTAAAGTCCCCGACCCCACATGCACAGGCAGACATGCGTCAAGTCCGCCTACGTGCAAAAACGACGATTACATCCATTGCGCAGCACATGTTGCCTATCGCCGCGAACGTCTGAGTGAGCAATAATTGTAGGGCCATCAATCACTTAACACTAAACTGATGAGAGGTAAAAGCTTTTAAAGCGTCGGCTATGGTCAATTTGGGGTATGGTAGTTTTTTTGCGATTTTTAGCGGGTGCGTGCAATTTTAAAGCTTGACATGTTTGTCTATTTACCCGACATGACCCCGTCTTTTATATTTTACCAAAAAAATAATAATTGGGTAATGTTTTATAACATAACGTAGGGAGAACAGGTTTTTTAACATTTTCTGTACTTTTTTCATATATTAAAAAAAAAAACCCCAGTAGTGATTAAATACCACCAAGAAAGCTCTATCTGTCCCCAAAAAAATGGTATAAAATTCATTTCAGTACAGCGTTGCATGACGGAATAAATGTCAAAGTACCGCAGTGCTGAACACTGAAAAATGGCCTGGGCAGGAAGGGGGTATAAACACACTGGTCATCAAGTGGTTAAAGTCCCTTTTAATCCTGGGCATGTGCTTGGGGTACTGTTGCTTTTCAGTTTTGTAAAGCTTGACTTGTAACCTCCAAATACATTCATAAATGCGAGGCGGACAAGTGGGGAGAGGTGATTCCCAAATGTACTAGTTGAGTACTACGAATGCAATATTTGTTTACAAAAACATCCACTTATAAGTCATAAGTCAAGAAGCTGCTAAGGTGTTGGGGTGTAACATGGTTTTTGTTTTTTGTACTTTCCCTTAAGCTGACCATACACCTTACAAATATCTGCCGATTTTCGTATGCGATTGCGTTTTTGTCCGATATTCATAAGGTTGATGGACAGTGTACAACCACAAATACTGTACAAACTATGCAAATACTGTACAATCGATCGACTTTTGACTATCCAGCAGGCTAGAAAACTTCTGTCGATCGTACGATTTTCCAAGGTTGGTGGCGTTTCTGTATGTCAAAAGTCGTACGATTAACACTGCTCGTGCGCAAACGAAAAATACATGCAGTCGATTACCGCAATTTGTCCAGGTTTTTTTATTACTGGCGATTGAACCTTGTGATTGGGGCAGGATGGGGCCGCCATACGAAAATCGTACGACGGTCCGATCATCAGATGAACAGTTTAGTCCGATCACAAGGTGTATGGGCCGCTTTATTGTGTGCAGAAGGGGAAAAAAAGCCACGTTGCAGTGCTGCAGGTCAAATTTAGATGCCAATATTTACTTAAAGGAGAACTATGGGGTCAGGGCTTTTCCCCATAGTTCTCCTTAGGGTAACGGGAGGACACAAACTAGCGTCCTCCCGTCACCCTAAGCTCAGTATACCGCGAGCTACGGCTCGCGGTATACTGAGACGCCGTAGCTGAAACGGATCTCGATTGTCTGGATCCGCCCAGCTGTGAGTGACAGCTGGCTCTGCCTATCTAGAGGCAGAGCCAGCTGTACCCGCCCCTCCCCGTTCCGTTCTGCCAGTCAGCTCTGGAGGATCGGGGAGGGGAATCCAGTCCCTCCCCTGTCACGGCTCTCTGCCAGCACAGGATCGGGAAGTGAGCAAACTTCCCAATCTACTGAGCCGACCTGTGACAGTTTCATTCACAGGTAGGCTAGAACTATGAGGAGTGAAAATTACTCGACTCATAGTTTTCCTTTTTTTAATTTTGGTGAACACAGAATTGCAATTTAGCTGTGAATAAAGATGACCTAGATTGGCTGCTCATTCCTAGCAGCCACGGGGGGTCTAGGGGCCTGTCAAGTGTGGTGTGCGCCATAGGCACTAATGGGTTACTTTGAGTTTTACACAGGAGTGGAATAGATTGATGCACATGTATCATGTGTTTAATGTGGTTATACACCTCCTTAACAGTGCAAACAAAGCAACGTTAAACCACACTTACACCTGTTCATATTAAGTTTGTTGAAGGTTTTAACAAAGTCTGTTGGGTGCTCAGGAAAGAAAGTAGTGGGAGAACTAGACCTAGAACTGGTCACAGGAGACTGTTGCCCATTATAGATGACCATGGTTGAGGCAAATGAAGAAAAATTAAGGATTAAAAATGCAGCTTAATGCGCTAGGTTTTAAGATGTTGGATCCTCTCTGAAGCAAATTGGTAATATACAACATAACTGCTGTCCATGGACCTTTTAACCCCTCAATGATGGGCCTTTTTTTAGGCCTGAAAATTAGTGGTGCCTCTGTTCACGAACTTAATTCATTCCACGATTCTGTTTGCAAACTGAATTGGTTGCGAACCGAAATAAACTAACCGAACCGCAATCTCGAAGCCACAACCACGTGTCAGAGCAGGGAAGATGGCTGCAGTTGTGTTCGTCACCCGATGCGGAGTTCGCGAACAGAAGTACAATTTTGCCGGACTTCCTGTTCGTGAACCGGGTACCACTGTACTTCAAACCCCCCCCAAACATATACATTTTCTGAAAGCCAAGACCCCTGTAGAATAAAATGGTGGCAATTGCAAATTCTTTGGTGCAAGCTATTAGCGCAACTTAGTGCATTTTTCACAAAATTTTGTGATTTGAGAAGTCAGTGCCCCAAAACCTCATCATTTTTTTTTTTTTATAGAAGATGAGTTACAATGAGTAAATACAAACATGCCCAGGTTAAAATTGTATGCGTCTGAAAAGGTGACAAAATCCACTACCCCAAAAAGTCCATAGACGATGCTTTTAAAAGCCCCTACAGGTCATCAGTTTAGAGATGCACATAAATATTGGCCCTAGAATTATTGCTCTCAAACTTCTGATCAACCATTTGGTTTACCACATTCCCCCCCCCCTCTTGCTGCCGTGCGAACAAAGCCTTAAGATCACACAAGTGTATGCCTATCCTAAAATGAGACATGGCAATCCTAAACGAGTTTTGAAGCACAATACAGAAATCACGTGATGTCTGCTATGCAATTCAGCACCACAGTATTGACAGCAGACATCACGTGATTTCTGTATTGTGCTTCAAAACTCGTTTAGGTTTGCTATGTCTCATTTTAGGATGGGCATACACTTGTTGTGCACCCCTGGTCAAGTTGCCAGTTTTATTGAGTGAGAAGTTGCACTTGTTTCACACAGAATATTTTAACCTAACATAATTCACACTTTTTTTTTGTGCCTTGTTTTAACCACTTGCTCCATAGCCCGCTGATCGTCTATGTGCTCGTTCGCGTCCGCCCCCCCCGCGCGGCCGCCGCCTGTTTCCCCCCCTGACCCCTCACCTTGAATCCCGGGATCCGCTGCCCCATCTGCGGCCCGGGACCGGCTCGGAGGGCGTCAGGAAGAGGACGGGAGATCAGCTCCTTGCTGATCTCCGTCCGGGCTGTGAATGCAGAAGTGATGTGTATTACATCACTTCCACATTCACCTGTCAGTCATCTGGCTGCTATAGCCAGAGAGAAGAAGCTGATGAAGCAGATCTCTGCTTCATCAGCTTCTTTTGGGGTCC